ACAGTAATTATAAGAATTGAAACCTGTGATGAAGTAGCAATTACGAGATATAAAGGTTCTAGATGGTAAAAAAAAAGTGTTTTGTTGTTTTTCTTAAGCATGCGAGTGTTTACATGCACGTTCTTAACCCGATTATGCTCAAGTCGACAATGTCAATGTGGTCACGTAACCCGTTTTCTTTTATTAGTGTAAGGCCAAAAACGGCTTTAGCTGTGTTGATCGGTTTAAGCTTGAGTTTTGCCCCTTACCCCGCTTTCACGCGGCATGTTAACCTGCGTTAAGTCGGCTTATTGAAGCGCTCATGTGTGATATGTGACGGGAAAGCGGATTTAGACAGAGTGAATATATGAGAAAATACACTCACCGGCCACTTTATTAGGTACACCTGTCCAACTGCTCGTTAACACTTAATTTCTAAGCAGCCAATCACATGGTGGCAACTCAGTGCATTTAGGCATGTAGACATGGTCAAGACAATCTCCTGCAGTTCAAACCGAGCATCAGTATGGGGAAGAAAGGTGATTTGAGTGACTTTGAACGTGGCATGATTGTTGGTGCCAGAAGGGCTGGTCTGAGTATTTCAGAAACTGCTAATCTACTGGGATTGTCACGCACAACCATCTCTAGGGTTTACAGAGAATGGTCCGAAAAAGAAAAAACATCCAGTGAGCGGCAGTTCTGTGGGCGGAAATGCCTTGTTGATGCCAGAGGTCAGAGGAGAATGGCCAGACTGGTTCGAGCTGATAGAAGGGCAACAGTGACTGAAATAACCACTCGTTACAACCGAGGTATGCAGCAAAGCATTTGTGAAGCCACAACACGCACAACCTTGAGGCGGATGGGCTACAACAGCAGAAGACTCCACCGGGTACCACTCATCTCCACTACAAATAGGAAAAAGAGGCTACAATTTGCAAGAGCTCACCAAAATTGAACAGTTGAAGACTGGAAAAATGTTGCCTGGTCTGATGAGTCTCGATTTCTGTTGAGACATTCAGATGTTAGAGTCAGAATTTGGCGTAAACAGAATGAGAACATGGAACCATCATGCCTTGTTACCACTGTGCAGGCTGGTGGTGGTGGTGTAATGGTGTGGGGGATGTTTTCCTGGCACACTTTAGGCCCCTTAGTGCCAATTGGGCATCGTTTAAATGCCACGGCCTACCTGAGCATTGTTTCTGACCATGTCCATCCCTTTATGGCCACCATGTACCCATCCTCTGATGGCTACTTCCACCATGTCACAAAGCTCTAATCATTTCAAATTGGTTTCTTGAACATGACAATGAGTTCACTGTACTAAAATGGCCTCCACAGTCACCAGATCTCAACCCAATAGAGCATCTTTGGGATGTGGTGGAACGGGAGATTCGCATCATGGATGTGCAGCCGACAAATCTGCGGCAACTGTGTGATGCCATCATGTCAATATGGACCAAACTCCCTGAGGAATGCTTCCAGCACCTTGTTGAATCTATGCCACGAAGAATTGAGGCAGTTCTGAAGGCAAAAGGGGGTCCAACCCGTTACTAGCATGGGGTACCTAATAAAGTGGCCGGTGAGTGTATATCACAGTGAGAAAATATATCACAAACTGAGACTCTTTCTCGACCAAAGAAATGATCAAAATGTGTTCTCATCAAGTGCAGCAGACGTAGAAGTGGTTCAGTCGAAATGCTGCATCTGTAACTGCATGAGAGGAGAATATATGAGACTGTAAGTTACCCGCTGACATGTTGGAACACTCTTCGGTTTCTAATGCTTTTTTTTTTTTGAACATCACTACCGACACAGCAAATGGGATCCTCGGAATCAGAGGAAATAACCTGATTTATGAACAAAGTCTTGTAAACGCTGTTTACCGTGTTATTTTTTTGCATGTAAACCGGGACAACGGGTTATTCCGATAAGCGGATTTTTGGGAGTTATTAGCGCATCGGTGTGCATGTAACCGTGCTCTGTGTTATACTCAAAATCATTTTATTTATTTATTTAAATAAATTACAAAAAAATAAAAAACTTATTTTAAGACCTCTGTTCCATTGAGATATATAAAGGTCACAACTGTGAGATAAAGTTGCACTTATAAGAAATCAATTTTTTTTTTAGGGCTGTGCAACGATTAATCGCATCCCCAAAAAAGTTTGTGTTTACATAATATGTGTGTGTGTGCTGTGTACAATTATTTTGTAGGTATAAATACACACACATCCATGTATATATTTAAGAAACGTGTTATTTATTCATAACATATTTAAATTTATATATAATATAAATTATATATAAATTAGGGCTGTCAGTTAAACGCGTTATTCACGGCGTTAACATAAACCCATTTTAACGGCGTTAATTTTTTAGCGCGCGATTAACGGTCTTTTTGGCCTAGCAAACTTTGTAGTTTTTTTCACATGCTTTTGCAACAGGACGCTGCGCTATTAAACCCATTCATTTCAATGGCTTGCGCCACGCGAGGACGTTTTGTTGCTTCGTCGACCAAAGCGAAAGCGGATCTAGCTAGACCGGAAACAAAACAACAGGCACGACGCCGCACACACTTGTTTAGGCTTGCGAGCCGGCCAAATAGTTGGTTAACGTTACGTTTTGAGAGGATGACGAGCGCGAGACGCCGAAATTGATGCCAATAAGATTCTGAATGGAAAGTTTACTTTTAAAAAGTTGCCAAATGGTTCCATTGACAAGACCAAAGTGATCTGTGTGTTTTGTCTTTGTGAACTGAGCTATCATCATCGCAGCACGTCCAGTCTGAAATACCACTTGATGATGGCCAAGCACACACACACACAGCTGATGCGAATTCTCCGCCCCCTCGTCAATATCAGGACCTCGTCAGTATTTCTTTCACACTTTTATTGATGGACAGTGTTACATTGTGTGAGAGATTATTTGCTCCAAGTGAGAATGTTAGTGTGAAATTGAACACAGTATTGTCAATGTTGTTTTCAATAAAAAAACATTTGCACAAAGCAAGCCGATCCACTTTTCCATGTTGATAAGAGCATTAAAATGAGAAAAAATTATGGGACAAAAAGAAATGAAATTTGCGATTAATTGCGATTAAATATTTTAATCGTTTGACAGCACTAATATATATATATATATAGTATATACATGCAAATATTTCTTAAATATATACAGGTCAGGTCCTTCTCAAAAAATTAGCATATTGTGATAAAGTTCATTATTTTCCATAATGTAATGATAAAAATTAAACTTTTATATATTTTAGATTCATTGCACACCAACTGAAATATTTCAGGTCTTTTATTGTTTTAATACTGATGATTTTGGCATACAGCTCATGAAAACCCAAAATTCCTGTCTAAAAAAATTAGCATATTTCATCCGACCAATAAAAGAAGTGTTTTTAATACAAAAAAAAAAAGTCAACCTTCAAATAATTATGTTCAGTTATGCACTCAATAGTCAATACTTGGTCGGGAATCCTTTTGCAGAAATGACTGCTTCAATGCGGCGTGGCAGGATGCTTCGATAGCGGCCTTAAGCTCATCCAGAGTGTTGGGTCTTGCGTCTCTCAACTTTCTCTTCACAATATCCCACAGATTCTCTATGGGGTTCAGGTCAGGAGAGTTGGCAGGCCAATTGAGCACAGTAATACCATGGTCAGCAAACCATTTACCAGTGGTTTTGGCACTGTGAGCAGGTGCCAGGTCGTGCTGAAAAATGAAATCTTCATCTCCATAAAGCTTTTCAGCAGATGGAAGCATGAAGTGCTCCAAAATCTCCTGATAGCTAGCTGCATTGACCTTGCCCTTGATAAAACACAGTGCACCAACACCAGCAGCTGACATGGCACCCCAGACCATCACTGACTGTGGGTACTTGACACTGGACTTCAGGCATTTTGGGATTTCCTTCTCCCCAGTCTTCCTCCAGACTCTGGCACCTTGATTTCCGAATGACATGCAAAACTGAGCAACAGTCCAGTGCTGCTTCTCTGTAGCCCAGGTCAGGCGCTTCTGCCGCTGTTTCTGGTTCAAAAGTGGCTTGACCTGGGGAATGCGGCACCTGTAGCCCATTTCCTGCACACGCCTGTGCACGGTGGCTCTGGATGTTTCTACTCCAGACTCAGTCCACTGCTTCCGCAGGTCCCCCAAGGTCTGGAATCGGTCCTTCTCCACAATCTTCCTCAGGGTCCGGTCACCTCTTCTCGTTGTGCAGCGTTTTTTCCCACACTTTTTCCTTCCCACAGACTTCCCACTGAGGTGCCTTGATACAGCACTCTGGGAACAGCCTATTTGTTCAGAAATTTCTTTCTGTCTTGCCCTCTTGCTTGAGGGTGTCAATGATGGCCTTCTGGACAGCAGTCAGGTCGGCAGTCTTACCCATGATTGCGGTTTTGAGTAATGAAACAGGCTGGGAGTTTTTAAAAGCCTCAGGAATCTTTTGCAGGTGTTTAGAATTAATTAGTTGATTCAGATGATTAGGTTAATAGCTTGTTTAGAGACCCTTTTCATGATATGCTAATTTTTTGAGATAGGAATTTTGGGTTTTCATGAGCTGTATGCCAAAATCATCAGTATTAAAACAATAAAAGACCTGAAATATTTCAGTTGGTGTGCAATGAATCTAAAATATATGAAAGTTTAATTTTTATCATTACATTATGGAAAATAATGAACTTTATCACAATATGCTAATTTTTTGAGAAGGACCTGTACATGCATGTGTGTGTGTGTGTGTGTGTGTGTGTGTGTGTGTGTGTGTGTGTGTGTGTGTATATATATATATATACTGTATACACAAAATAATTATACACCGAACACACACATATATTATATAAACACAAACTTTTTTTTTGGATGTGATTATTCGTTGCACAGTCCAATTTTTTTTTTTACTAACTATAAAGGCGAATAGGGGCAAAGGGTGAGTAAATTATAACCATTTTCAGTTGCAAAACACTAGCATAGCTTTTATATGTAATTGATCGCACCAAGACTTTTAAGGTTCTCTTTTACCTGATAAGTGTCCCACAGGCGAATGGTGCAGCGTAGAGGAAGTTCTCTCATAAGCAAGTTGTTCATCCAACGGAAAGCAAACTGCAAATACTCCACCTCATACTGCTGCATGTGGCGATGTACCATCTCTGTTCAGGACACACACACAAAAAAACAGCACAATAAATCACCACCCTGTCGTCAATCACCCCTATTCATCTATCGCAAACAATTAAGGCATCATTAGAATCTCTTCAGTAAAATTGAGACCAAACAATAAATGACAGGCGCTCGGCGGACACAACACAACAATAACACTTATTCTCCTGGCCGCTTTTCCCGCTCACAGACAGCAGACACAGTTCATGGATGACAGCCTGCCGGGCGTAAGACATAACACCCTAATAAAGCCGTAAAGAATTTCTCCGTCCGTGCCATCATGTGCTCGACGCTGTCATGTAAGCATGAGGTAATTACTCAGCTGTCAACCCAACGTCTGAGCGCGTTATGTTAGAGAAGAAACGGCAGCTTTATTTATGGGTGTCTCTTTAATCAACAGGGACGCGTCTTCTGATGGGTAGAGTGTGTAACATGCATGACTGCGTGAAATATAGGCATCTTCATTCGCCTCCTGACAAAGATGGCAGTCTTTGGACATCACATGTATGATGGGATACGGTTGAGGGTTGTGGGTGATATACTGAATATTCACAATATATAATTATAGATAATCAGGGGCCAAGCTCCGAAGGTGCGTAGGCATCTATTATAATCGTTCCTATTCTTCTTCTTCTTCCGTTCTGCGAGTCTATGGCAGCCCATAGAAACGCTTGAGGGGAAGTTATGAAATTTGGCACACAGTTAGAGGACAGTCTGAACTGTCACCAGAGCAAATTTGAAGTCTCTAAGGGCTAGAAACTTTCTTCTTGTCACATTAATGTTTCCTCTGATTCCTTGGCTCAAGACGGTTCGATTGACCCCCAATTTGACTCCTTGGCCGTTGCACCGATTTTCACAAAAATGTAACCAGATCATTTTCTGTCCGTGCCGACAAAAAGATATGGAATTGAAGTCGATTCATCAAACCGTTCTCGAATAACGTGCGGACAAATTCGACGAACTGCCCGCCAAAATGAACGTGGGGCTATATCGCCGCAATGCTTTAGAGTATTCTGACCAAACTTGGTGTGTGTTATGACAATCATGACCTTAGGTTACCTGCACAGTTTCGGCGCAGTGCCACCAAATGGTCACGAGATATGAAAAATTAGTTTTTTGCGTATAACTTCTGAACGGTTAAACTCGTCTCTTTAGATTTGGTACAGCACGCCGAGTCGAACAATACCAAATCTTCATAACAGCACCCCCTATTGGTCAAAAGTGATAAACCATTAAAGCATATTACTAGTGATTGTATTTGATTTTTCGAAAATAATCTTAATATGCTTTAAATTGCTAATTGTTGCAGTTGGTCTGATGCTTCCAGTCATGATGGCCTGATTTATCGTGACTTCTTTGTGCTTGACCCCTTAATTGCTGCTTGCAGCTATATTTACATAATATAACCGTATAATAATAGTCTTCAGTGTGCTGCTTTATATTGTTTGTGGAAAATGTGCTACTTTTTTCAGGAATCTTTGATGAACAGAACATTCTTCTTTAATAAAGTCTCCTGCTATAATGCCAGACGAGGCTGGAGAACACCTGACACGAAATCAGAGACCATTCCTCCATACAGAATCTCTCCAGATCCTTCAAATTCCCAGGTCAATGTTGGTGCACTCTCCTCTTCAGTTCACCAACTCATCTATACGGCTCAGAACCTTAATGTTGTGCTCAGTGACCTATTTTTGTGTTGATTTTGGTGCTTGTATTGGATCATTGTTCTGATGGTAGATCCAACCACAACGCATTATATGATATCTGGCAGAGGGAGTCAGGTTTTGATTTTTTTTAATCTGTTGGTATTTGATCAAATCCATGATGCCATGCCATGTACAATATCTGAATCAGATGTCCAGGACCTCCAGCAAAAGAAATAGGTGCACAACATTAAAGATACAGCAATATATTTAACTCTAGGCATGGGGTACTTTTTTTTTTTTTTATCCCTGTGAGCAAAAAAAACACAGCTTTTGGGCTTGCTGCGAAAAGTTCTTCTTTTTTTAGATTCATCTGACAACAGAATTCAGTCCCATTTGAAGTCCCAGTAGTGTCTGGCAACTGAATATGCTGGAGTGAAAGCAGATGACTTTTCCTGAATCCTTCCCTCACGATGTAGCTGCTGTTTGACATTTTTTTGAGGCTTTCAGACCCATTTCTGCAATCCTTCAGTTGTGATCCTTGGAGAGTCTTTGGCCACTCAAACTATCCTCCTCGCAGTGCATTAAGACAATACAGACACTCGTCCTCTTCCAGGCAGATTTGTAACATATTTAGAACTATATTCTTTTGTTTTACCAATTGTGATGGATGATTAAGGAAATTTGGCCTTTGTTTTACCTAATATTTTCTGTGAAACAGGAAGTCATGGCTGGAACATATTATGTTCCTAGTCAGCCTGGAGTGCTATTAATGGAATTATACCTCATAAATATTTTACTCACAAGAACTGTATTTTACGTCTTGTAATAAACATTTGAATATCGAGGCAACTACGGTTGAAATGATGGTTCCTCTGGGTTCTTCTGGATTCGTATGACATTTGTATTTACTCTACAAATATAATACGAATGTCATACAGAAAATGTCATCATAAGGACTATATACTACAACCCCATCTCCAGAAAAGTCGGAACATTTTATAAAATGCAATAAAATCAAGAAACTGTGATTTGTTAACTCTCTTTAACCTTCATTTAACTGACAAAAGTACAAAGAAAAGATGTCCAATGTTTTCACTGACCAAGTTAATTGTATTTTGTAAAATTAAACAAATTCTGATTTTACTGTCCATTTTTCCCCAAAACAAGCTGAAACGTGGATTCATCTGACCGCAGCACACATTTCCACTGTGTTTTGGATCATCTGAGATGAGCTCGGGCCCAGAGAACTCGCCAGCATCTCTGCATAGAACTGATGTACAGCTTTTTCCTGGCGTCACAGAGATTCAAGTTGCATTTCTTGATGCAGACTGTTGGTTTTCCAAAGTACTCCTGAGCCCATGTGGCTATTTTTAACGCAAGTAGCATTTTTATTCCTTATGCATTACCATCTGAAGTCTCGAAGGTCACACACATTCAACAAAGGCTTCCTGCCTTGCCCTACACAAATGGATATTCCTTAGGACTTAGCAATCTTGCATTGAGAAATCAGATTTTTTAATTGTTTGGCAATTCTCTTATGAAATTTGGCACAAAGTAGTGAGCCATGACTCAACTTTTTTTGCAAAGACTGAGATGCTCCTTTTAGACTCAATCACGATAACCTCACCAATTACCAATTGACCTGCTAATTGTGGAGTGTTTCGAAACAGTTCTTGAACTGTATATTCTGTTATCTTTTCATTTTTATTTTGCATCTGACCTAACTTTTTTGGAGTGTGTTGCAAAATTAAAATGTGTTTACATTTACAAAACACAATTCATTTGGCCAGGGAAAAATGGAAATTTAATTCGAGAATTAACAAATCTTAGATTCTTGATATTGCATTTTTCAAAGTGACCCAAGTTTTCTGGAATTGAAGTCTGGAATACTACATCAAGCCCTAGTTGCAAGCACACCCACCCATGCCGAAGATCAGCTTCTGTCAAACCTCACACTTGCCTTGACAGTGTCATTCTCACATCCAGCCCTCCTGAATAAACAACTTATCCTCATTAACGCTGAATACATCTCACTGCCAAGAAACGGAAGCGATAGACTGACGAAACAAACACACCGATTTTGCTTATTAGCACTGCAAATCAAAATCCTCGTATTTTTAGCCTAATTAAAGGGTGAGCGACAGATAAAGATGTCCAAGATAAAGAAAACAAAAAACAAAACTTCTAGTTTAACATCATATTCCAAGTGGATTTAAAATCTTTTAATATCGTTTATCAAGTGTTTTGACAGTAAATCTAAAAAATATGCTCAGTAAAAGGGTTGTCGAATAAACAAACTAATTAATAGCAAAGGCTTCTGAAATTAATCACGACAGGGTTAATATATATATATATATATATATATATATATATATATATATATATATATATATATACACACACACACACATACATGTTCTTCATATAAAGGAGGAGCAAGTTAGTGTCTGCATGAAATAAAACTATAAAGTATTAAGTGTTAATTACGTATTAATTAATAACTATTCAGTACTAATTTATTCGACCCCGACCCCAATAAAAACTTCCAGGTATAACTTTGGGGAAAATAAAATTTCAGGAATATTCAAAATATGTCAGAATAAGCCTTGCAGCTTTATTAGCAGAATAAGGATTTCCAGCAAGCAGAATGCATTTGCTTGCTTGCTCTTTCCACCTTCAATGCAGCAAAACACATGCAGGTTCTGAGGAGGATGGGGAACGGAGGTCAGAGTTCACAGAAAGACAAGTGAGCTGTTTGCCACGATTCTGCTGAGCAATGGACTTCTGCTCGACTTCTGCCCCCGCCCATCTATCCCATAATTACATCTGCACTGACCCTCTGTCTCGCCCTCACTGCATTTCCAGCCAAAACCCGCTCAGACACCAAGAGAAAGAGGATCTACAGCGCCCACCTTCAGGAGCGAGCAGCTGTATCTGTACATGAGCCACACAGACGGAACCAAGGGAAAAAAAAAATCAAATTAAAACCATTAAGTAAAAATAATTGTTATTACTTGAAACACATTGTAAGTTAGGCCTATATATATATATATATATATATATATATATATATTAGGGGTGGGAATCTTTTGGAATCCCGCCATTCGATTCAAATCGATTCTTCGGGTCACGATTCGATTCAAACTCGATTCTCAATTCGATATATGCATAGATTTAAAATATATCAAATTGAAATTTGATTCAAAATCGATTCTCGAACAGCAGAGAAGTGAACAGCAGCTACTGTTAGTCCCAATCGAGCGGGAGTTATTTAGTTTAAATTATACACACCTCATAATTGCGTTAATTTAATCTAGCCCACATTCATTTTCGCCGCTCACGCG